TCTAATCTTGACACACACACAGACACACAAGCCCATCCAGCTATCTTAGTGAGGGCCTTCATTGACATAATGGTTTCCCTAGCCCCTTACCCTAACTCTAACCATTAAAAATGAATGCCTTACCCTAAACCTAACCATAACCTAATTGTAACCCTGACACTAAAACCACATTTTGAGCCTCAAAAAGGCTTCAAATTTGTGAGGACTGGTGTGTGTGTCCTCACAAGTGACTGTTGGTTCTCACAAGTATAGTAGAATGCAGATTTCGGTCCTCACAAAGATAGCTAGACAGGAACACACACACACACATATAAACACAAAATAAGATGTGTCACATCCATCCTGTCTTGTATCTTGGTAGTGGTGTATTGGTGTGGTGTATTTTCTTTGCAGATTCTGGGCCCTTTAGTACCAACTGAGCATCATTTAAATGCAGCATCATACCTGAGTATTGTTGCTGACTGTGTCCATCCCTTTATGACCACAGTATGCCCATTTTATGATGGCTGCTTCCAACAGAATCACATGCCATGTCACAGCGCTCAAATCACCTGAAACTGGTTCCTTGAACGTGACAGTGAGTTCACTGTCCTCAAACGGCCTCCACGGTCAGAGCATCTCAATCCAACAGAGCACCTTTTCTCCATTGGCAATTTGCATTATGTATGTGTAGCTGACAAACCTGTAGCAACTGTGTGATGCTGTTATCTCAAAATGGACTAAAATCACTGAGGAATATTTTTGCTAAATCTATGCCATTAAGAATTAAGACAATTGGAAGGCAAACAGGGTTCCAACCTGGTACTAGCAAGGTAAATGTTAGAAAGTGGCCAGTCAAATAGCCCAAGAGTTTTAAACGTGAGACAAATTGTAATGCATAACCTACAACAGAGACAACCCAAGGCCGAAACCCATGTAATTCCAGTGCAATCAACAAATGTTTTATAAAGGGGTGTGTGTGCACCCCTTTGCGGTTAAAGAGTCCATAGCTGCAAACACAGCAGCCGGATAAAATACCGGTAATGGTTTGTTCTCTGTCAGTGTGTCCCGGTGAGCTACCTTTGTTGGGGGAGACTGATGCGGGGCTGTTTGGGGCAGCGTTTACTCAGCGTGAACAGTTTCCTGATGATCTTCTGGGCTTTGCTGAGGACAAGGACGGTGCTGGCCTCCAGCTGGGCATAACGTTTTTGGAGGGATAAGTCGGCTGACCAGAGCTTGGCTATCATGGACACATTCAGGAAGCGATCAGTGGGCAATCGCTTCAGGAAGGCTTTGAATTCATCTGCAGGGAATTCAGCAGAGACAGACAGAAGGAGAAAACAACAAAGTTAGTCTCAGGTAATTTATCACAATACCGTTTTGAAAGCAGTGAAAGCCTATTCATCACATTCTATTTTACCCCTGCTAGCATGCAGGAAAATGACAGAGAAGCTGGGGAGTTTCACGTGTCATTAGAATTTAAAAAAAGCTGTTATGTTATAATGAATCACAATTACAAAGCAAATACCTGCGCTTTAAACGGCAATTATACTCATTCACTTCTCCATTAGAATCCCATCTTATTCACTGTAGCGTCATTGTCATTAAGCAACACTATTTATGTGACGATTTACCGTATGGCGTCACATACAGATGGCCACCTTTAAAAGCCTAAACAAGTTAAGAGAGCATCAATTATCACGAGCTGAACAAACTACTAAAAGCACGTGGTAATTAGGAAAAGGTTGTCTTCTGTCATTGTTTGTTGTGTTACTTATATATTTATTTATTAATACACTTGCATGAAGTATGGAGACGTGTGCTACATCGATGTCACTTTGTTCAAACTAGTGTTTTTGTGCTAGTGGAACACAAAAGCTCCGGACAAAATTTTAAGCCCCTGCCATATTCAAATCTGTGTCATCTGACATATGAGAAGTTGTTCTTTAACTGTATTTTCAGGAGAAAGTGCTTTTGATCATCTGGACACCTGCTCTTTTTTAGTTTCTTTGCAATAAGCACCACTACCATATTGCCTCGTTGGTCTTGCAGTATCTGATTTAAAACTCGTTAACAATAGGCTAAGTATCTTTGAGAAGGGAGTTTAGTGACAAATGACACACAATGATTTTCTTTTTTCTGTGGCTACTCGTCCCACCTTGTTCACCAATGTGATCCTTTAACCTCCTCACTAATTTCTTTATCATCATTGCTATCGTTTAGAGCCTTTAATGGATTATTCTATAATGTTTTCCACCATCTGGTAAAAATCAGTCATGGTCCTGAGTCGTCGACCAAGTTTTCGAGTTAGTATCATGATTGTTTCATTTGGATTTTTGTAGATGATTTATGTTCTACTCTGTTTTGAGTATCTTATTATCACTCTATGATTGTGAGTTTATCTTTGGTTTTAGTCCCCAGTGCCTCATGATGTCAGTCAGCCAGTTGTCCTGTTACTGTTTGGTTTTGTGTTTTGCCCTTTGTTTTTTTTTTTGTCCCCATTTTTTCCTGCATTAAAGATGTGATTTTGAGTTCATCTCCATTTTGCCAAGTCCTGCATTCTGGGGTCCTCACTGTATTTCCCATACATCATAACATTATTGATAAATATGAATAATCTGTGACACAAAAACTTCAACTCTCAAACATCAAGAGCGAGTTGCTTCAGGCACACTTGTGAACTGTGCATTTCAAATTTTTTCATGTGTGACAAACAAAACTCACTCACGCATACTCAATGAAATAGGAGTGTTACCCAAGCGTGTTGATTTACACATTTAAGCAACATTCTGCACAGTGCAGCATACTGTCACTACACTACATTTTAACATATACAGTATGTAGCTAATTGGTCATTTGTTTCTTTGGATCCCTCTGTTAGGATTTTCATCCTTCAAGGCAGATCTAACTGGGAATGATGATTTCACCTTTTACTTATGTCCACCTCTGAGATGCAGTATTATCTCTACTCCTTTGGTCTGTCAGTGCCTGAGCCAACCTGTCTCACAGCTGCCTAACTCTTCTGCCTTAAAATACAAGTGCTAGCGTTACAGTTGTCTGTTACTCATCTCCACTTAAATAAACCTGGCAGCCCGAGTGGCTGTGTACTCAAGTATATATATTTGCTTATTTATCACATACTATATAAAGCATATAATACTTTTGCAAGCCACTGTATAGATACAAACACTTAAAGATTCATTTCTGCTCAAAAGTAGGATTCGCAAGTTCATCTAAGCAAGGTGACTGATCATTAACATTCAATAACATCACATAGCTTTCCAGTCATACCAGACAATGGCAAGATTTATTTCTATATTTCTTTATTGCCCACGAGTAAGCATGTCCTCTATAAAATAAAATATAATGTTGATTTTATTTCAGAAACTACATATTGGAGATTTTCTGTGGTTTGCTGGCTTGTATCTGTAGAAACTGTAGAAACTTGTAGATGATGGTAAACTGGAAAAAATGACAAGTTTAACAAAACTTTGGTCAAAATTTGAAAATACATTTACATGGATTGTATCTAAGCTTGAGCTGTAATGCAAATGAGAAGTCTGCATCTTAAGTAACATTCCTGAGCTATAATTTAGGAAAATGTGCTTGGCTCAACTGTCCCTTATGCTATTGTGAATAAAACTTTAGAAACAGATGGGGACCTTACTCAAACAGCACCTACTTTGTTGTACCAGATGCAGCTGCAACCCAAGCCAATATGTGATGAGAAATCCTGTGTGTACTGTATGGATGGCTGTCTGTGCGCGCGCGTGTGTGCGTCTGTGTGAATCTCAAACACTGAAAAAATGGGAACACTTGGAGAAAATTACAGTGAGAATAACATCGGTGCAGAAGACACAGTTCGTACCCTCTGCAGGGTTTGCCAAGAACGTTCCAGTGCTGAGCTCACTTTAGTTCCATTATGAACCAGTGGGCAAATATTATGCCAGTATGAAGCCTCCGGGAAACTTGAACCTATTATTTCTTCTTTTTTTTTTCCTCGCAAAGCCAGCTAAGTAAGACCTTCTTGGATTGTTCTGGGTCTGCTGGAGAATCATATTCCCATGTGCATCTGTTGGCAACAAGGCAGCACAGAAATCTACAGCCAAGCTGACCTGAGCTGAGCCCAACTGACGAGACTCAAGCCTATTACAGTGTTCAGTGATCCCAGATGACATGATGGTCTGTCTCTCTCCTTGTGTGTGTCTGCCTCATTCTCTTGGTGTGATCTTCCTCTTCTGGACTAGTGAGTCAAGACTGTCTTATTCTTGCGTTTGAGTTGTCTGTCTGATTTTTTAATCTTCTCTTACTCCCAGGTTCCTCGTCCTTTTTTTGTATCTTTGTCTTTCTATGCTGACATGAAGATGAACTAGTCAAAAACGTTCTTGTTGCTCTGGCTTGTGGCTGCTTTCTTAGTCTTGTGGCTGTCTTTCAATTCATATAGATTCATCTGACCACTCTTATCGGCCTTTGAGTGATTGGGTGAAAGACTGCTGACCCGTAAGGAAGTCAAGGGAGTCAAGAAACTTTGGTCTAATTTGCAGGTATATATTTTTTTATTCTGGATTCTTGTTAATGCAGGTGTTCATTTCACAGAACGAATTTGTGGGATTTAATTTTTCACACCAACCTCGATTTTTTTTCATAGCCGAAAAAAACAAATCTGACCAATGAGACCACTGAGGTTGGTAGCAAATGCAATGTAGCTAGAAACACCCAGTAGTACTCAATATACAATTATATCCATCCATCCATTCGCTTCCGCTTATCCTTTTCAGGGTCG